TCAACCTTGTATTTTTCACAGCTGTAAAAACCACCAGCATGAGCCGGGAGGCGGAGGCAGGCGGATCTCTGTGAGTTCGAGGCCAGCCTGGACTACCAAGTGAGTTCCAGGACAGCCTCCAAAGCCACAGAGGAACCCTGTCTCGGGGGGAAAAAAAAAAACAAAAAACAAAAACAAAAAAAAAACACCAGCATGTAGACGTAGAGTCTGTTGCCTCATTCTATTGCCTCCTGGAAGTGGAGCCTGGCTTTCCTGGGTCATAAACGTAGCAGACTCTTCACGCTGACTCTGAGGCTACATTTTCCTAGACAGTTGCTTTTCAAGAGCAGGAAACTCCTTCGGGGCATTCTCAGCTAAGCTCTCTTTTTCAAATGATTTGCGTTTTTATACGTTGGAGCCTTTGATGGATAGGTCTTACCCTCAGGGCACATTTCCTATAGCTCCAATGACTAGTAAGACATTTCTCTGTAAGTCACAGTCTTTTTCAACATGCACCTTCCCTGCAACTTAAAACTTCCTTGTGCTTGGAGAGCAAGGAAGCCCCGAGTGTGTGCAAACCTGAGTGAATGTGTAATGTTGACTTTAGCCAGCCATGTAAAGGACCAGAGCCTCAGACCTATGGGGAAGTGGTAAAGCCTCCCCCGAACCCAGGGGTTGAGGCTCAGAGGGAGGTCATGTGCAAATGTTGATGGTTGGTGCAGAAAATATCTATCATAGCTTTCTCCCCACTGGATGTTTGTGACCCGAAGACAGCTCCCCTACAGAGACTGCTCCTCCTGAACTTAGCTAGACCTGCCTCCTTGTTCAGCTGCATACAGTAACCCTACCTCCCTATTCAACTGTATATAATAAACATGCCAAGCTTCCTGGGTACAGATCCCAGCTTCCTGTGTACTTATCCATGTGTTTGTCATTTTATATCCTCACTGCCCTTGTCAGGTCAAGTCCCTGAGGCCATGCAAGGATGCTACCCTTGAGCTACCTGACCCCAAAATGTATATTATTTGCATTCTTTAAATGCATTTTTGCCCTATTTGCTGCTCTTTCACTGTAGAACTGAATCAAATGGGTAAGAGTGAGTAATAGATATGGCTGTCCTGGACCTCCATTTGTAGACTAGGCCAGCCTTCATCTCACAGAGATCCTCCTACCTCTGCCTCCCAGTGTTGGAATTAAAGGTGTGTGACACCAACCCAGACTCTGTTATCAAACTTTAGCATTTAGGAATAACATTTTCTTCAGCAGCAAATTATAATATCCACTGTCTCCGTTCTAAAGAGACCACAGGAACTCCAAATCCCAGATGTTCTGGGACATGTGGTCCCTTTTTAATTGAATTTAATTTTTTTGGTTTTTCCAGACAGGGTTTCTCTGTATTGCTTTGGAGCCTGTCTGTCCTGGAACTTGCTCTGTAGACCAGGCTGGCTTCAAACTCACAGAGATCCGCCTGCCTCTGCCTCCCAAGTGCTGGGATTAAAGGCATGTGCCACCAATGCCCAGCACATGTGGTCACTTTTTGAGGTCTTATTTTTGACTCATTTTAAACATCCCTTGCCTATTTTTGTCCTCAAACATAAGTATAAACTACCCTTTGTTCTTCAGAGTTGGGTTAACACATGACTGGCAGCTATTTTCTTTGTGCTGATGAATTAGTCTTGTGGAAGTTTTATGAGAAAATAGATGGCAAGTTAAAATTGACTGCCTGATATCACAATGCCACACCTGGAAGTTCTGGAGCCTATCTGCCAGCAGGGACTTATTTTCTTGCTTGCTTGCTTCATTAGTACCATTCTATTTTTGCTTGAACCTGCTTTAAGAAATTGGATATCTTCTAGGTTCTTTCCTCTGACCTCTGGAGCCCATTCTCTTGATCCCAAACTACTAATAAGAACTGAATATTTCTTGACATTTATAAATGAAAATATGTTTTGTGGTGCTATTGAGGTGACTCCATTGTCAAAGTGCTTCCCATGCAAGCATGAAGACCTGGGTTTAGATATCTAGCACCCATGTTATGGTGGTTTGAAAGAAAATGGCCTCATAGGCTCATAGGGAAAGGCACTGTTGGAAGATGTGGCCTTGTTGGAGTAGGTGTGACTTTGTTGGGTGAAGTGTGTCTTTAGGGTATGGGCTTTGAGGTCTCAAGTCACGCTCAGTGTGGCAGTCTCTTCCTGCTGCCTGTGGATCTAGATGCAGAACTCTCAATTCCTTCTCCAGCACTGTGTCTGCCTGCCATGACAACAATGGCCTAAACCTCTGAAACTGTAAGCCAGCTCCAGTTAACTGTTTTCTTTTATAAGAGTTCCTATGGTCATGGTGTCTCCTCACAGCAATAAAATCCTAATAAGACATATGCAGAATGTGGGGTATGGTGGTGTGCTTTTACAAACCTAGTGCTGAGAATGTGGCTAATTAATCTTACTGAATCAATGAGCTCCATGTTCGGTGAACACCCCCTGTCAAAGAATAAGAGGAAGATACTTGACATCAGGCACCAACTTCTGGCCTCTCTGCACGCACACAGAGACACACATGTGTGCACACATTCAAAATTGTACATGTAGACCCCCAAACAACAATAACAACCCCCTCCTCAACAAAGCAGCAACGAGAAACCTCTGCCTGTTGTTGTCCATGCACCTGCAATCCCAGCCTTCAAGAGGCCATGGTAGGAGGGTTACTATGAGTTTGAGGCATCTGGGCTATAACAAGGCCAACTCTTTGTTTTTTCTTTTTAAATTTAAATTAGAAACAAGTTTGTTTTGCATGTCAATCCCAGTTCCCTGTCCCTCCTCTCCTCCCCTGCCCCCCACCAGCCCCCTATCCCATTCCCTTTCTGCTCCCCAGGGAGGGTGTGGCCTCAAAGTCTGTCACGTCATTGGAGCAGGGCCTAGACCCTCCCCGGTGTGTCTAGGCTGACAGAATATCTCTCTATGTGGAGTGGGCTCCCAAAGCCCATTCATGAACTAGGGATAAATACTGATTCACTACCAGAGGTCCCATAGGTTAACCAGACCTCCAAAGTGACATCCTTGTTCAGGGGGTCTGGAGCAGTCCTATGCTAGTTTCCCAGCCATCAATCTGGGGTTCAGGTCAGCTGTTTCTGTGGGTTTCTCCAGCCTTTGCTCATCACTCCTCCTTCTCTACAACTGGATTCCAGGAGTTCAGCTCAGTTTTAGCTGTGGTTGTCTGCTTCTGCTTCCATCAGCTACAGGATGAAGGCTCTAGGATGGCATATAAGGTAGTCATTAATCTCATTATCGGGGAAGGGCATTTAAGGTAGCCTCTCGACTATTGCTTAGATTGTTAGTTGGGGTCATCCTTGTAGATCTCTGGACATTTCCCTAGTGCCAGATTTGGCTCCCTCTATTATGGTATCTCTTTTCTTGCTCTCCTCTATTCTTCTCCTGACTCAATCTTCTGCTCCCTTATGTCCTCCTCTTCCCTCTTCTTCTCCCCTTCTCTTTCTCCTAACTCCCTCTCCCCTCCCCCCATGCTCCCAATTAGTTCAGGAGAGCTTGTCAGTTTCCCCTTCTCTGGGGGACCATGTAGGTCCCTCTTAGGGTCCTCCTTGTTTCCTAGCTTCTCTGGCGGTGTGGATTGTAGGCTGAAGACCAGCTCTTAAAACATCAATGAATTAATAGTCAATCACAAGAGCAAGCAAGAAAGCAAAGAAACAATCAAACACCTTCAATAACATTACTCCTTGTCTCCCTGTTATATTGGCCATTTTATTCCTCCATAATCTATGATCTCTGGTGACTTACCTACTGTGCACTGACAGAGTTTCCTAGGGCTGCCGTAACAAATTACCACAAATTGGATGGTTTAAAGAAGAATTTACTTTCACAGAGATTAGGTGTTTAGAAGTGCTGAGCTTGATGGCACATGCTTATGACTCTAACACTCAGGAAGCTAAGGCAGGAGGGTGGTTAACCTTTGATCCACAGCAAGTCCAAGGCCGCTCAGTTAAAGAGCAGTAAGTACCCTTTCACAAAGGTAAAGCAACCAAAGGCAAAAAGAAAGGCCCACATTCCCACTGCCTGGCTCCCCTGGTCTTATAAGACCCACTATAATTACCTCATCCTATTCTGATTGCATATGTATTAAAGAGCCCATTTCCAACTAAAGTCACATTCCCTGGGGAGTCAGCGCTTTAACATATCTTTTGGGGACTCAATGCATAACTGTAACACATGTTTAGCACGTGGTTCAGTATTCATTTTTAAGTTCTTTGTGAACAGAGATGTTTGTCTTATCGTCTCTGTTCTCCCAGACCTGAGGAGAGAAGCTGACCTGTTAGAGCTGCTCAGAGAAATGTTTAAATGAATGCATTTAGATCCCAAGTCCTCCACGTGTTTACTTCTCTATTCAACCCCAACTCCTTGCGAGTCTCCAAGTGTCTTCTGGAATTCCATGTCGCTGAGTTGGCCAGTCTTATATTTGCTGGTTATTTTCCCCACTCTGAACCAGAACTCTGCCATTTGTTCCCCAGACCCTAATAAAAGCCTTTGGAAAGTTCCTCCAGCATTCTCTTCCAGCAGCCTTTTTTATGGGGGGGTTAAAAATTTTATTAATTTATTTTTTACATTCCAATCCCAGTTCCCCCTCTCTTCTCTCCTGTACTCCCTCCTCCCATCTCCTTCATGGAGAGGATAAGGCCTCCTCTAGGAAGTCTACTAAGTCTGTCCCATCATTTCACTGAGGCAGGACCAAAGCACCTCTCCACCCCCACACCCCTGTGTCTGGGCTGGGCAAGGCATCTCTCCATATAGAATGGGCTCCACTAAGTCAGTTTGTGCATTAGTGTTAGGCCTTGAACCCACTGTCAGTGACCTCACATATTGTCCCAGTCACACCATTGTCACCTATATTAAGGGAGTCTAGTTCGGTCTTATGCAGATTCCCCATTTGTTAGACCTGAGTCAGTGATCTCTCACTAGCTCGGGTCAGCTGATTCTGTGGGTTTCCCCATCATGGTCTTGACTCCTTTGTTCATATTAAATATGGAATGATTCACAAATTTGATGTCATCCTCTCGTAGGGGCCATGCTAATCTTCTCTGTATTGTTCCAATTTTAGTACATGCGCTGAAGCGAGCACCCAACAGCTGTTTTATCCATTCACACGAAGTGCAAATCTTATATGCCATTTTACTACTTCAAATCCATCTTCTCACCACATGTGAGACAAGATTGGAGCTTTCTGAATATGCCTTCTAATGTTCTTGATGCTCTGGGTGACACCTTTCCTTTTTAGCCCTTCTCAACTTCCCTTCTTGCTCCTTAGGCACTTGACTTACTGAAGTTTCCAATATTTATTTCTGTATGTTTAAAAAACCTTATATTTCTTTTTTGACAGTTTCATATACGTATATATAATAGATCATGTCTATGCCCAACAACTTCCTTCCCAACAACATGTCCCCTTGCCAGCTTCGTGCTCTCTCCTGCTGTCTTTTTGTAACCCACTGCATCCATTTAATGCAGCTTGCTAGAATAATGACTGATTTTGTTGGCTTGACTTGATCTTTACAGGTCTTATGTGGGTAACTACGATGGCCGTGTGTTCATGAGTGCTGCAGTCATGTCATGTCCAGTGTTTCCCAGCATTCTTCCCCAAGCCTACAGCTCTACATTGTTTTCCACCTGCTCTTCTACAGTGTTCTCTGAGTCTCAGAATGAGGGGGTATTAATACAGATGTCTCATTTAGGGCTGAGCACTCAACAGCCATTTATTTGTTCTCAGTACTTTGACCAGTTATAAGTCTCTTCATTAATTTCAAGAGTTTCTTTGGCCAAGGTTGAGAGCAGAATTAATCTATGAGTGTAATGTAAATGTTAAAAGCCAATTTGTTAAAATAACCATTTAGTAAAATAGCAGTAGTATATTCCTCCCTAAGAACTATGACCTGTTGAGCCATGGGGCTTTTAGCAAGGTTGATAGTACCAGGCATGAATTTCTTTCTGTGAACCAGACCTCAGATCCAATCAGAAGGCAGTTGGTTTCTCCATAACTTACATTCTATTGTGCATCAATGGGAATATTTTGCCTATCAGGTTAGTATTGTAGAATTTAAGGTTCACTTCTGATGAGTTTTTCTCTCAGCAGTCTGCATAGCACCTTCAAGAATTATTAAAACTATACAATATTCATTATTATTGTTATTATTATTATTATTATTATTATTATTGGAGATCTTGGTATATACTATTTCCTCTTCCTGGAATACTCTTTCTAGCCTGGCCTGGTGAACTCCTATATATCTTTCATATCTCAGCCAAAGTCTCTCTTTCTCCAGGAAGCCTAGATGATGCCCTCCCCAGATTACTTGGAATCCACTTTTGTTAGTATAACCATGATAGGGTCCCTGAGTACCTCACATTTCTCTTTTGTAAAATGTCATTGCTTGCTTGATGTCTGTTTTTCCTGCCACAGAGTCAGGGTCCATGCCTATCTGTTTGTCTCTTTATCATGAACATTCCTGGATGTGGTGCTTAATATTTTTGTTGTTGTTTTTGTTTAAAGAATGATGTATTGGCTAGCTGTTGTATCTTTGTTCTTAGATTTGACCCTAACTTTGGGAAGCCCATGTGACAATAGTCTCTAGAAGTTACAGTATGACTCCTCAGCATTCTTGGCCTCTGTGAACTTTCTCTTCCCTAGCAGAACACCTGCCCTGGAGGAAGAAGATTTCATAGGTAAAGGTAGTGAGCACCTTTGTTAGAAGACAGAACTTTTGTACTCTGGGGTTAGAAATGGGAATTGTGTACCAAATTCCCAGCTTTGCACAGAAACAAGAAGGAGGAATCACATTAAGTTATATACAGTCTTACCACCATCATCATAATCACTATATATATGTATGTGTATATATGTATATGTATGTATATATATAGTTGGGGTGAGACAGGGTCTACCCACATAGCCTAGTCTGCTCTAAAAGCCATAGTACTCTTGTATCTGCCCCTAGAATGCTGAGATTGTTGGTGTGTGCCACCACACCCGACTTACCACCAACCCTGATGAGGACTGGAAGGAGTGAAGAGTAATGTCTATGGGAAAGGAAATGAAGCTTTATTTCACCCTGTGACTATTCATTGCCTTATTTAGAAGGCCTCCAAATGTTTCTTTTACATTCTTTTTTATTTTTCCTGAAGACAATGGTGCATCAGTGTAATGTCCCCAGAATACTATATATTCACCAAGAATTGATTTGTGTTATACTCTGACTAGCTTGGTATTCAGCAAATACTTACAGGGGCCTCTTTTGCTCAGGCCCTTGGCCATGGGTCCAGCATGAGAAGGTGGACATACTGGAGTCTGCTTTCTTGAGGGACCCACATGCTAGCTGGAGGGATGACTCCTTAGGTTTTAAGGTGTGATGTATCATGGCAGACCCTGATAAGGAGGTATGTTCAGTGCATGATGACGGCAGACAAGGAAAGAAAAACTTCTAGTTATATGGGAGCTTGTACATTGCTATTCCTTATCTAAGTTGTTGTATGGTCTCAGAGTCTGTGATTTCAACTTTAAATGTATTTTCTATATTAAAATGTTTTGAGATTTTTCTATCTCTGTCTTTCAATGACAATTAAAAGTTTAGACCTGGAGGCAGGTATACTTGAATTTCAACTTGGGGACTGTGTTTTATGTTTCAGAAAGGTCCAGAAAAGAATGTACACGTGATGGGATTAACTAATGTGATGGATGCAGCCTTTTATCATGGTACCTGGCAGGAGGCAGGGGTTCAAGGATTTTGTTGTTGTTTGTTTTGTATTAATGGCAATAAGAAATGTATTTATATTGAGATTTGTAAATCAAGAAAGCATAAATGAGGTTAACATTGAAATAAAGAGTGTCTACGTGGGTTCAGGAAAGGTGCCAGTATGCAGACAAAGCTCAAACAGATGCCTGAGCTCTCTGATGGGGGAAAGTGGGCTGAGGCATTCACCACAGCAGAGTGCAATAACAGTGGTTGCTGTCTAAGTTCTGTAAGTTCATGCAGTTACATCTGGACCTGCCAAGAGGCAGTGTTCATCTGCTATTACTCAAGCTCCCTAGCAAGGTGTCGTTTAACACCCTAAAACTTGCTCCTTTGGCAGGTTCCGTGTGCTAATCCTATTCCGTGTTAGCAAAGCCGCAAGGCTCAGGAAAGAATTTTTCTTCTCACTTGCCACCTGCAGCTATTTCATTTTTTATTTAACTTTATATATCATGCTTTTTTTTCCCTCGGATCCAACTTGGGGCCTTGCTCATGCTGGGCAAGTACTTTACCAGCTGAGTTGTATTCTTAAGTCCCTGATTTGTGTGTGTGTGTGTGTGTGTGTGTGTGTGTGTGTGTGTGTGTGTGTGTGTGTGTGAGAGTTTCGAGACAGGGTTTCTCTGTAGCTTTGGAGCCTGCTCTGGAACTTGCTCTGTAGCCTAGGCTGGAATTTAAGGCGTGAGCCACCACCTGGCAAGTCCTTGATTTTTAAAGATAATGTGATAAGATATTTGAAGGCTGTCTAAACATTATAAAAACACAACACAAAGATTTCTTTAAAAACATATAAATTAGCAATTTATTGAGGTAAATGTATACATTCCGAGAAATAATCTGGCTATGTAACAGAATATTCAGATCAAATAGATTTTATATTATCATTTCAAAACTATTACATATAATATTTCAAGTGACACTTCATAAAAATTATAAATATTAATTATAAAATAACTTACAGCTTTCATATTTAAATTATCAATAAATTAAGAAATAATTAAAATAGTGTCCCAACATTCATACTGTCAGTTCTTCGTAGAGAACAACATAAGGTAGATACCCAATGACAGGATATGTTTTCTGACCACAGTGAATGTCCACAGATCGGTATGCTAAGGCACAGCACACTAGTTTTGCCGAGTAGACCTCATGGTGACTTCTAGGAATTCTTCAAGTGCTTTCAGGATGAGTTTTATGGTCTTGGTTCTTGGCCACTCCTTTTGTGACTCCAGCTTCTCCATCAGGATGGCCTTGGAGGTTGGGCTAGGCGTGACTATTTTATCTGGACCCTTTACCTAATGGGGGTGGGGAGAAGAAAGACTGGTTAAATACTACACACATTGTTTGTTGTGGGGTGCTCTTTATTGTGGGAAGATTTTTCAAATCTAGGATGAATGAGGCTAGTTGGGTCCATCTGCCCTGACTCTCCCAAGCTAGAGGAAGTGCTTTTGCTTCAAGCTCACTCTGAGGGAGACCTATGCATAGCAGTTCCATTCTTTTCTTTTTTTTTTTCAAGGTGATTATTAGTTTTTCAATAGCAACAGAATCCTGACTTCCCCCTTTCTGTTCTGTCTGCCATTAGAGAGTAAGCACCCAGAGGCCAGCACCACCATCTTATTTGTCTGTTACCCAAAGCAGTGCTGACATATACAGTATTGCTGCTGGACAAGAGAGGAACCCATTGGGAGAGGTGGTTCAGTGGGTTCTGAGTCAAGTGCTCCCCCTCCCACTTCCCGTTCTGCTGAGAGTCTCTTGGTGTGATAGCATGAAGGATGCCGGAAACCCCTTTCCATGGACCCACGAGCATGGGGATGACTAACTGGAAGGCTTGCCCCACTACTTGCAAGCCTGTAGTACAGCAGAATTATATAACCAGGCGGCTGTCTACGAAGTGAATCTCAGTCCCCTCCCCAGTCCTCCTAAGTCAGACTCCGCTGGAACAAGACCTGGACGGTTCCTGTGCACGGTAAACTAGGAAAGGCTCTGGCTCGAGGCAAGAAACTACAAGTAGCAGAAGCAGACAGCACCAGGGCTTCATCCCATGCCCTCCGTCTTACATCTGGCTTGGCTCATCCACATTCTGAGCCATCAACCCTCCATAGTTTCCATTTAATAGCTAGTGGTGACCAGAAACCACTAATCTCTTCCTTCCTGTCTTTTTAGCCTTTGGCTACTTCTCTGCCTTAGGTTTCTAGTAGCAAGAATGCCACTCTCCAGGGATTAAATATTAAAGTCATTTTGGTGCCCTGTGCTCTTTTACTATGGCTAGCTGGGTAGGGTTGGATATGCTTCCTTTTGTCTGTTATATTTTTCTTATCTCTTAAGCAGTTAGTTAGAATCT